CTCTCGAGAACCAAGAGAATCATATTTGTTAATTTTGTGATTAACTGAAAATTATATTAATCTTGAAAGTTTATGTTTTTCAAAATAGGTGACTGACAAACAAAGAAGCAAACAAAGAAGGTGAAGACTTCCATTTTACATATTACGTGATATAATAATATTCTCCTCACATGCATAGTTTTTAAACCCGGCCCGATAATCGACCTGGCCAGGTCTCCGAGTCACCGGTTTAAACATCGAGTCACCGGGTCAATTGTTGAACCGGATAATTAATTTTAAAATTATATATATAGTATTTTTGTTATATAAATATATATAAAAGTAACAAAATTAAATGTTTTGTGTATAAAATTTGTATATTAAAGTATTAATGATATGTATCTCATGATAAATATTTACCATATAAACATATATACATAGTTTTATTTTTACAAAAAAATTAAAAAAATATATTGGGTCAAGGCCAGGTTCGCCGAGTTTTGACCGGATTTGACAGGATCCTTTGTTGTCTGGTCCAAATAGCTCACCTAGACCAGTTCTAACTCCGGGTCGACCCGTCAGGGCCGGTCCGGGTCAAAAAACAAATGCTTACATGTAAATGTTGTCTCTTGTGTTTGTGTTTCAGGCCATCTTCAAGATATGATTTTCGAACTGAATGCCAAAAGGGAGAGACTGTAAGATTTTATTTTGGCAAGAAGTTTCGAAAATGACATCTTGATGTTCTAGGCAAGCAAGGAAAATAAGAAAGGGAAGATCTACATTTTCGCCTTTTCTTTTATTTAGGCTTAGATTGTATTCTGTTTAATATAGCAAATTTCCACAATGTGTGTTTCTATTTTGTAGGAGATCTTGGATTCAAAGGAAGAAGAAACTGATCGAGGCATGATGCACATGAAGATCTCGGCTTCCATACATAAAGATATCACTACTATTTTTGAAGATTAAAGAAGGAAGGAAATCCACTCCAAAAAGAAGGAAACTTGAATACTCATTCCATTGAGAAGGTTGTATATATACCTACACAAATACTCAATTGGGGGTTGCTGCAATTATCGAAGTTCATCATATTATAAAGACTTCTTTGAGTGTTTATGAGATTTGTTTTCGAGTTCTTATGTGAGCATTTTTTCAGTGTTCTTTACAAATACTTTTCGTACTTAGGAATTAAATACTAGGATAATTGGAAGGGATCCTTAATTAGATTGAAGTCCACAAGGTTGTGGCTAGAGGATTAATTAATAGGTTAGGTTATAGTGTTGGCCATACTAAAAGGGAGTTCGAGTCTTGTAATTCCAACTTATGTGCATGCAAACTGAGCTATAAATAAAATAGCTCTGAGGGATAATGGGACGTTGCCCGAAGAGATTTTTAAATTGCTTCCGCGTTTTAATTTTTGGTAAACGAACACTATTATGTACTCTAATTTGCTCCCCACATCCGTTTCATGTATAATTTTATGATAATATATATCATGTTATATTATTGATTTATGAATCAAACTTACTGTAGTTTTAAAAATACTATTCGCACACGGAATTAATATTGGGCCTAGAAGGCCCACCAGCAAAGACTACCACAAGTGTGTAGTTAGTAAGCGAGTTAGTCCAGCTATGTTCTCATTTCTCATTGAGGAATTTGCACCCCTTACTTCCCCATATGAAATATATTATAATTATGCACCCCTTTTACAAATATTTGTATAATTACCTAAACAAGCCTAATTATTTGCTATTATACCTAAACAGTAAAATTAAGTAAATTATATCAAGTAATTAAATACATCAGATAATTAAGGAAACGTTACTGATTTTACGGCTATTTTGAATGCACTCAATATCTTTTCAAAAAAAAAACCTCCCACTCCCACCGCCCACGTTCACCGTCGTGCACAGAAGGAAAACTCAGTAACCGAAGATACTCCAATGGCGAAGACAAAAATCGCTCGAGATCCTCGAAAAAAAACGGCGAACGAAGATGATGAAACACCACAGATAAGATCGAGTTTCCGTCTTCGTAAGATCCACGCAAAATCCAAACCCAAACTCGTGCAGAAGAAACTCGTTTTTGAGAGAAATATGAACCCTAAACCTAGTCGCAAGCCCACTGGCAACGCAAGAGTGAAGAAGAACATTTCATCCCCTGATTCAGACGACTTCCAGTCCAACGAAGACCGTAGAACTCAAAAATCTTTTTGTCTTCACCGTAAATCAAAAATCCCCAATTCCACTGAAAATGAAAAATCTTCTGACACCGACTTCGAAGATGAAATTCAACCCGAAGACGTCGATAGCGAGGGATTGGAGAGCGACGAAGAATCCCCGGTCGAAAATTTCAAGAAAAGAATCAACAAAAGGCAAAAACAAGAGAAAGATGCAGTTCAGAAGAACAAGAAAAAGAGAAAACCTAACACCGGCGTCCCAAGTGGCATGCAACATGTTCAGAAACAGATAGTGTATAAGGTAAATTTTCTTCTACATTCCATTTTTTGCATTATATTTTCTCATCTGAAAGATTATTAATTTGTTTATTGATTTTGTTTATTGATTATCAACTATATTCTTTTGTCAGTTGAATGTGTGTATGTCAATGAATAAATCGTCATGGGTACCTCCAAGATTTTTGGTTGACTAAGCATGTTATGTAGTCCTATGTAGTCCCAGAGTTTAATAATCTTACCCCTGTGCACTAACAGGGGTATATAGGAATTAGATTCGTATGTATATAATAGGTGAATCAAATGACTGTATTTTTGTACTATTTTTTAGTGTGAAATGATATAATCACTTGGGTTAATGTGTATATTCCAAGTAAATAACACTGTTGCCCCTTTTCACTCTTCCTATTTTGGTTTTGGATATCTGCATCATTTGTTCACATAACTTACAGTATGGTATATTTTCTAGCTAACTATCCATGTTAATGTGCAAGTACTTATAAATTTTATGGTATAGCTAAGTTACCTGTTCATTTGCAAGTACATATTGTCAGTACTATGGTATTTTTTAAGTTTTTTTTATAGTATAAGCTCATATAATATGTGGTCACATATACCACACATATAAACTGAATATATATCATTTTCTGGTATATCTATCTTATATTTTGTTCTGTAATATACCACATATATACCATGTTAATTTGAAAATAACACTGTTCTGTAATATACCACAAGTATATTAGTATCCAAGTAAATAACACTGTTGCTCCTTTTCACTCTTCCTAATTGGTTTTGCATATCTGCATCAGTTGCTTATCATGACATATATAAAATAATGCCCAACTGTTGCTCTTTTATATCTTAAGTATATGGTCTGGTTTATCTTCCTTTACATGTCATGATAAGTATCTGGTATAAATATACTATGAATATAACAAATATATAATCAATCAGGTATGATAAGTATATGGTATATCTATAAACAGGTATATTACTCGGTATATTAATTCCTTCTATATTAGTCAATCAGGTATATTACTCAGTCCCTGTCCCTGTCACTTTTTTTTTTAACAGTATATCTATCTTATATTATGTAGAGCCACATCAGGTGGCAGTATATGATAAGTACATGGTGTATATATAACAGAAATATACCAAGTATATAATCAGTACTGTAAGTGTTAACATATTGTAAGTTATGATATGGTCCTATATTATAAGTTACAATCAATACTGTAAGTTGTATCATATTGTATCATATTTCTAAGTTATAATCATGTATATAAAAATCCATATTGTTTTCTTTTCATTATTTTCAGGAATGGGAACTGCTAATCCCGCACCCCAGGGATATAAACGTGAAGGTGCAAAACAGTAACGATAACAGCAAGGAAAAATGCACGATAAGTGACATCAAGAAGATGCTTACCAAGGAGCAATTGGAAGCTTTTAGGATGTCAGCCTTTGGGAAGTTCTTGGATCTCCCACACTGCATTGTACAGAACCAACTCATCAACTATATACTCCTACGCGAGGTTCATCAGAGTAGGACTGATGAAATTTGGTTCGATTTCGGAGGGAAATTCCTCCGATTTGGGATAGAGGAATTTGCTGTCGTGACTGGTTTGAAGTGCACTGGACATAGTAAGAAATTGAATATTCCAAAGATTGCCGGTGGTCTGCACGACAAGTATTTTGATGCTGTGGAGTTAAGCAGGAGTCACATCAGGTGGCAGTTTTTGAAAAAATTGTGGGCGAACGATGAAGATGCAGTGAAATTTGCTAAGTTGCATTTATTAGCAAATTTCCTCATGGGCTCTCAAGATGCTCTTCGCATAGACCGCTGTTTTGTTGACATGATCGACAGTCCTGAATGTGATGATTACTCGTGGGGAACCGCTGTGTTTCAGTTTACCCTACACTACCTGAAGAAATCAATCCAAACCAGAGAGCAGCTGCACATATCGGACAAGGATGATGGAAGCAACTTGTACCGGTGCTATGGTCTGATATTGGCTCTTCAGACATGGTTCTATGAGGTTTGCGACACGGCTGAGGGTGTAGTCGCAACCTACGTGGGTGTAAACAATATCCCGAGGATAATCAAGTGGGAAGTTCGGGAACCCTGTACTCGAAGTTTTGTGCAGAGGACGTTTTCTAATCTTGATCAATCTAAGGTAAAAAATAAAATTTTGTTCTTTATATATTTCTACATCTATCGCACTAACAAATTCTTCTTCTTCTTTATTGTGCACAGTTCAATAACATAGTACCCACCGAAGCTGAGAAACAGACTCTTCTT